AATGATTACAGTCCCCTCCATGCATCATCATTCAATGGTATTTGCTTTGTGTGTGTTGGGGTTGTTTATTTTGGGGTGTGTGTGTACACCTAAACACTCAGGAACATACAGTCATTCAAACAAACAAAGGGGTACACCGCCCACACCACACACACACCCCCAACCCCCCGCTGCCAGCACACAGTCCATCTCCCTCCATGAGTCTAGATTCCTCAGCTGTTCGGTCTATCCCCATCATCAGCTCTGCCTCCATCTGGCGTTGCCACTTCTCTGGATAGGGCCCTACACTGTGCTCCCGCTCTTCTCCCTTGATGGTCCCAGGGTCCTCCGTTCCTGGACTGTAAGATCAACCATTTCCCCCTTTTTACTACAAAACTTCTGCCTTTACAGTTGTGACAATGGTAATTAGTCATGATAACAGTTACTCACTATTGAATCATAAGAGTCTTATCTCCATCTCCTTTCACCAGACCAGTCTAGACAGGATGAAAACCACTCAGTAGGGATTCTACTTTCCCCCACCCACTCTGAAACTAAACTCCCTTCTTAGGAATACTTTTAATAATTAAAATTATTTTTCTATTTATGTTATAGAATAAAATCATTCAGTAACATAGAAAATGATATCTCTATGCACAAAGCGAAGAGAAAATTAGGCAACTATCCATGTAATGTTATTGATCTTGTTAGATTACTATGGCCTATTTATTTGGTTGTGCGTACCCATTGGCTTGGAGTCCTGGTGTGGCACTGTGGACTAATGCAATAGACTGCAAAGTCGGTTTGAACTGCAAGGTTGGTGGTTCAATCTCACTAGTCACTCCTTGGACACCCTATCAGAGTGGCTATGGGCTGGTACTGACTTGACGACACTTAGCAACAGCAACTCATTGGATTAAGGAGCTCTGGTAGTGTAGTGGATTACAAGCTGGACTTCTAACCTCAAGGTCAGCAGTTTGAATCGATCAATTGCTCCTTGGGAGAAAGATGAGGCTCCCATAAAGATTTATAGCCTCAGAAACCCTATACAGGCTCACCATGAGTTGGAACCAACTCAGTGGAGTACAGCCACCACACCACCACCACCCATTGTACTAACCATATCATAATTCAATCTCATGTGCCTAATACGTAGAACCTGTTTTTAAGTAACTTACTTCTTACTTTCAATTTTTCATTACCTTTAGACATCTGAATATGTATATAAATATATATATTAGGCTTTAATTTTTTAAAAAATAACAGTGAGTATATAATTGTAAAGTTTTGCTACATTCTATTAAGAAAATTCACAAGTACTTCTTGTTGTTGTCAGGTACTATTATCATAGCAACAAGCAATACTCTTCAACATAGATCTTGAAATGTTTTTTTCGATGATAAATGTGATGGCATTCTTTTTCAATTGGTCGTTCCTGGCATAGTAAACTGTATAATTGTCAGTTTCAAAATGGCCAATGCCAATCCATTTAACTAATGCCAGGATATCGATCTTTATCCATGCCATTTAATTTGTGACAAGTTCTAATTTTCCTAGACTGATTCCATGTTCTGATTATTAATGGTTGTTTGCAGCTGTTTCTTGCCATCTTGAGTTATGCCCCATCAACAAATGAAGGTCTTCAAAGTTTTGCTCCATTCCCATCATTAAAGTCGACTCTACTTTGAGGAGGTAGTTTTTCCCCAGTTGTATTTTCAGTATCTCCCAACCTGAGGGGCTTACCTTCCTTACTGTATTTGTCAATATTCTGCTTCTCTTCATAAGATTTTCAGGGGCTAACCATTCAAAAGCAGTCTGCCTCTCCTTTTTCCTTTTTCCTACTCTGTTTTAGTCTGGAAGCTCTAATAAAATCACTCCATCATGGGTGACTATCCTGGTATTTAAAATACTGGTTGCATAACTTCCAGAATCTGAGTCCTTGTTAATTCATGTGTGTTAGAGTAGAATGATACGCCATAGTTTTTTGTTGTTGTTTTTTTCTCTTAAAGCTTTTATTTTGCATTGAGTGATAGTTTACATGGGAGCTAGGCTTTACTTTTTGAATTAATTTTTTTCTATAATAATTGGGTTATTTTCTGATGAGTCTTTTACTCAGTCTCAGGATGTTGTCAAGTATCTCTGTGAATTACTTAAGAAAGCATGTGCTGGTAATAAACATGCTTTCTTTATTTCTGCCTCATGATCCTCAGGCCTCATCCCAAACCCCTCAGTTGAGATTGTGGTCCATGAGAAACGAAACCCAGAGTCTTTCTCATCTTGACATATTTTGAAGCCCTTTAGGTCAGTTCCATCTTTGGGTGTTTATTGGTTTCTAATTGAGCCATTTCTAATTTTTTACAAGATTAGACAAAATAATCTAGAATAACAAAAGATCCATCTCTAGGCTCTCTATAGCAGTGTGGCACTGTAGGATCAGCACTTGTCTTTGAACCACACAATCGGCAGTTCAAACCCATCAGCTGCTCCTTGGAAAACCCTATACAGGGTCACTATGAGTCCAAACCGACTCGACGACACTTAAACACAATAGACTACCAGAGCAGCCTGTTTACCAGCAGTCAGCTAGCATTGACTCATTTAAATGATGTTTTCTCACCTAGCTAATAAATAATTAACTAAAAAATTCTAATAATATGAATTATAAGGGAGAACATCACTATTTTACTTCCATTTTAAATGTTTTAAGAGAATTCACTGCCGCATAATATCCTAAAAGAAATTGATCGTACTTTTCCTGTAATAAATGTTGTTCTGACAGTAAAGCATTAGTAACCAATTGATAGCCTAGCAACAATATTGTGATCTCTTTAGATAATTAATCTTAGCTATTTTCCTGTCAGAAGCAACAGTGCTTGATTTTATGTTGAGCCAGAAAGATTGCCAGTTTTGAAAATTAAAAAGCATTCCTTTTATATTATTCATTCCAGTAACAATTTATGATGGCGCATTTAGCTGCTGAACGCTTGTCAACAAACGTAATTATGTTTCGATATAAACAAGATTGGTGGTTTTACTATGCAGCTCCATCTTTGTTGAGAATGTTTTGATTTAGGTTCAGATTATACTAGCTGTGTATTTATGTGTCATTTTTTTTCCTCCTTTGTTAATAGTTTTTTTCTGATAATTACTTGTAGGCAAACAAGCATGCATTTAGGATCCTTATGCATGGGAGATATCAAACGGAGAAGAAAAGCTGCACCTTTGCCTGGACCTACCACCACAGGTAAAACAAAACCAAAAAAAAGCAAATGGAGTGGAGCACAAGTATAAGTTTATAAGTCATCAGGAATGAAATATACCTAATCCTTAATCACTTAGACTGAAGAAGAGGCACAGTTGCAAGAAACTGCTAAAAACAAATTTACATTTGATGTCAAGATGCAGCAACTGTTCCTTGTATAGCTTTTTCAGGTGATCAATAAAATATTTCTTGCACCCCTGACCAAATGCAAGGCTTTGTGTGAAGTAATAAAGGGCCCACAACCTCTAAAAGCTGTATCTTTAGCCTCAAGAAGTTTACAGATGAGTTGGGAAGACAGGCCTCAATAAATGAAAAAGACACAAGCACCCCAGAAGAGAGCAACAATAATAAATTCTAAATTATAGCAACAGCCTCAAACTGCAAGGCTCCATGTTGTCATAGGGCGGAACCTGGCTTATAAATGTGGTTTCTCATCCCAGTTCTGAAGCTGTCTTAGATTCAACTTTCTGTACTTATACACTGTTATCATTAGAATTTAAAAAACAAAAAACAAAAAAACATTTCTATCTCAAAAACCATGTCAACCTAATTACATGCCACTCTAGTGAGTGTGGCGAATAAAAAGAACCACAGTGAGCAGGGAGACTTCACTGTAGATCCAAGGCAACAGGAAACTTGGTGTGGGCATGACACCTCTAGCTGGGTAGTGAAGGATAGGAATCAGATTAGCATATATTGCAAAAATCTCAGTCAAGACCAACGGTAAAGGAGGCACATAAGAAAACCAGTGATAGGAGGAAGCTCCCAGGGCATTAATATGTGACACCCACATCTGAATAAACAACAGGTAACCATAATGCATTTGTGATGCAGCTGACTCTGGCTATAAATTTTACTTTCTATAACTGACCAACTATCTTTTCAGCAAAGGTACTTGGTCAGTTACAAAAAGTAATTATCTCTGGTTTATTGTCTGGGGTCCTTAGCCATTGAAATTTATCAGCTGTCTCTTAACTTTGTTTTTGGAAGCTTTGATAAGGAAAAGTGATTTTTCTCCCCATGATTAATTATAGAATATGAAAATATGACTCGTGTCATCAAAAGAGTAAAACAGTAAGAAGAAGAAGAAAACATTTTTGTTTTGTTTTCAGCTTGCGGTTTCAAAGTAAATAAAAGATAAGAAGCTTATATTTTCTGTTTTAGGGGCAAATTTCAGCACTAGAAAATTGAAGAGTAACTTAAAATTGGAACATTCTAAGCAGTTTTCCTCAAAAGAAAGTTGTTGTTGTTGTTGTTGTTGTTGTTGTTGTTGTTGTTAGGTGCCATCAAGTCAGTACCGACTCATAGCGACCCTGTGCACAACAGAATGAAGCACTTCCCGATCCTGGGCCAACCTCACTATCATTGCCACGCTTGAGCCCATTGATGCTGCCACTTTGCCACTACATCTCGCTGTGGGGGTCTTCCTCTTTTTCTCTGACCCTGCACCTTACCAAACATGATGTCCTTCTCCAGCAACTGGTCCCTCCTGACAATATGTCCAAAGTATGAGAGACAAAGTTTGGCCATCCTGGCCTCCAAGGAGCACTCTGGCACACTTTGTCCAACACAGATCTGTTGGTTCTTTTGGCAGCCCATGGCACTTTCAATGTTCTCCTCCAACACCACAACTCAAAAGAAAGTATATTGGGAAATTATATATATTGTGCTGTTGTTGCTGTTGCTATGAAGTACCATCAAGCTGGCTCCGACCCGTAGTGGCCCTGTGTAGGGTTTCTTAGGGTTCCTGGTGGGTTTGATTCACCAACCTTACAGATAGCTGTCCAGGACCCCATGTATGTAGTATTAAGTATAATACCTGTTCTTCCTCTTCTAGCTGTATCGAACTGTCAGGATTTGAAAGATGGAAACACCTATGTGTAGAGTATATTTGCATTTTATGTAGAATAAAATTTACCACTTCCTAGTGTGGCACTGCTGGATAATGCTCTGGACTGCAAGGTCGGTTTGAACCACAAATCAGTGGCTCAAGCTCACCAGCTGCTCCTCGGAAACCCTACACAGGCTTGCTGCGAGTCAGAACCGACTCGACAGTACCTTAACAACAACAAATATATACCAGATGAGCCCTGGTAGCGTAATGGGTTACACATTGGGCTGCTCACCACAAGGTCAACAGTTTGAATCCACCAGCCACTCCCTGAGAGAAAGAGGAAACTTTCTGCTTCCGTAAGATATACAGCCTCAGAAACCCTATACAAGGTTGCTATGAGTCGAATCCACTAACCACTAACGGCACACAGCCACCACTATCACCTGTATGTTTGTGATATGTACAGTGATGAAAACAGTGCCTAACGCACACAACTATTGTGTGAGCTAGGTGCTATCATTATCACTTTACATATCATAAACATAAGATTTAGAGAAACGTTAAGTGACATAAGATGACATCATTATTGAATGGTATGTGAGGCTTCATACTTAGGAATATGTGATTCCTAAACCCATGTTCTCTCCATGACTGTGTACTTAACACCTTTGTGAAAATATGTATTTAAAGACTGTCCTGTTGTATGTTTACTTGAATTCACTATTTTGTGATATAAGTAATACAGAAGGTTTATCTAGAGATTGCTATGTAGAGAAAAACAATATTGTTTAGAACACTTCTAATATGTCTCTTCATAAAGGAACAGTTTAGATCAGATACTTGTCATAGTCAGAAGTTCTTCAAGTCACGTCTCTCATAAAGCAGGTATTCTGTAGAATTCTTTAATATCCCTATTCCAGTTGAATGGTCCCTGAATTCTCTTACCTTTCAGTGATTCAAACATTAGTGACAGAAACAGGACAAGAACAATCTTAGGAATGCTGCTAAAATGCTACTAAAGTGCCTTAGTGGTAGCAATAAGGAAAAGAGAATACTGAGGTCAAGTGTGAACACACGGAACGTATGTGAAGTGAAGAAGACCAATGCATAATGTTTTAGGAGAGTGTAATGTAATTATTTCTACAAGGCGATTTTGATGTTACAACTCAGTAACATCAGAGGAAATCATTTATACTGAGTATAGATAGAAACATTAAACTTTAGCCTAAAACATTTTTCCCCTTAAGCTTACACTAGCATATTCTAAATATTTTATTTCAAAACTGTTGTGATTCTCTTAAGTTTCAGTATTTGGATTTTATTACTAGACATTTACTTAAAGAATAGCAGTCACACTTTTAAATGCATTCTCTTTAATTTTCTTGCAAAGCAGCACAATAGGAGGCTTATGTTCCTCATTTTCAGATTCATTTTCTAAAATCTATGCATTCCTGTCAAAGAAGAAGAATGTGAGGCTATTTTAAAGTCCTCAGTTTTAAAGAAACTATCTTCCAATAAGTCATGAATCAACTCTAAGATGAAGTTGATTATCTAAATTCAAGTAAGAAATGCTTTTGCATGAATACATTTTGATAATGAGTTGTTGGTTATGAATCCTAAGTCATTTGGCTCTGAATAGTCTAATTTTCAAATTCTTAAACATGTAGACACATAATAACAAATCGGTTAGATTTTTAAACTTTCAAAGCTGACTTAGGGCGCAGAACTATTTTGAAGTGAACATTCCAAGCATTTCACAAATCCTCTCCGACCTCTGATGAAAACACATTGAATTGAGGTATATTTTCAACTGCCTTCTGCCTTCAGTCAGCTTGAATCTAAGCTGCAAAAACACAACTGAAGATAACCCTCACATTTGAAATAGGAATGAGTTGAAAGACAGCCTGGATATTGTTTGATAATCTCTTCTGATTTATATGTGAAATATTACTCAGTCAAACATCAGGTTTAGGAAGGATTTACCAGAAAATAAATTGTCAGAAAAACTATAATTAGGTACTTGAACATTATAATCCCAAACTGGGTTTCTACAGCAATTTATGACTCACGAGATGAACAGTTACCCATATTGTAAGTAAATAAACCAGTATAACCAGTTGCCATCTTTTCTAATTATGGGGGCCCCATGTGTGTCAGAATAAAACTGCTTCATAGGGTTTCCAGTGACGGATGGTGAAGCCTGTTTCTTGAGGCATCTCTGCGTGGACTTGCTTTCAGCTGCAACCAAGAAAGTTAATCATTTGCACCACTTCATATAAGTAAATACCATTGAATTAAAAAAAAAAAAAAGATGAAAAGTAATCTTAAATTAATAACCCTAAAGCTGATCATGTGTCATGGCGAGAGTATTGAAATTTTTATTCACCCCGTTTTAGCAAGAGCACAGCATTGAAGCATAATTTTAGTCACTTGATAAGGCAAGGCTGTGGACTGGCCAGTCATGTTATCGGTTGAACATTTATTAATTGTGGCAGGAACACCAAATTTATTTCAGTGCTTTAGCTTATTTACTGCTCTTTCACCTTTGTATTTCGTATTGACAAAGTAAAATGAATATTGATAATGTTAGGTATTGATTTTTAAATGTATATCTTGTTCTCTGCCTCATACAAAGTCACATACCAAGAGAGAGTGGATGTCTCAGTATCAAGGATGTAGATTTACTATTATAAAATTGAGAACTGTTGAAGCAAGGTTTGCCAGCAGAATGCATTTTATAGTTTGAAAAATGTCATCTGTAAAGGTGAAGAAAAGCAGTGAGGGAAATAGGAGGAATATTATTAACACTTTTTTTTTTTTTTTTTTAAAGACAGTCAGCATTGTTGGCTCCCCTCTGTGTTTTCAGTAGAAGCTATAGCTTTTGAGGAGTCCTGGTGTGGCCGTGTAGGTTAATGTGCCAGACTACACAGCCATTTGAACTGCAAGGTCGGTGGTTCAAGCTAACAGCTGCTCCTCAGAAACCGTATACAGGGTCGTTATGGGTCTGAACCAACTCGATAACACTTCAACAAAAATAACTTTTGAGAGTTTGATAATAAAAAGATGTTAGCATGTTGGCCCCTTTAGTTTTTTTTTTTTTTAAAGTCTACTCTAAATTGTTAAAATGAATGCTATCCACAGTTAGCAT